CCTATTAGAAAAACAAAGTATCTTCTCTCAGGCCCACAGTCCATAGTAGGAGGGCAGTTATTGTATTGTAATGAGAACGAAAACTATCCTGTCCTTAAACTGAACTAACGTATCCTTACACTGAACCTATCCCTTCACTGAACTAACCCCTATCCTTACACCGAACTAACCTACCCTTACACTGAACCTATCCCTTCACTGAACTAACCCCTATCCTTACACCGAACTAACCTACCCTTACACTGAACCTATCCCTTCACTGAACTAACCCCTATCCTTACACCGAACTAACCTACCCCTTACACTGAACCTACCCTTACACTGAACCTATCCCTTCACTGAACTAACCCCTATCCTTACACCGAACTAACCTACCCTTACACTGAACCTATCCCTTCACTGAACTAACCCCTATCCTTACACCGAACTAACCTACCCTTACACTGAACCTATCCCTTCACTGAACTAACCCCTATCCTTACACCGAACTAACCTACCCTTACACTGAACCTATCCCTTCACTGAACTAACCCCTATCCTTACACCGAACTAACCTACCCTTACACTGAACCTATCCCTTCACTGAACCTATCCCTACACTGAACTAACCCCTATCCTTACACCGAACTAACCTACCCTTACACTGAACCTATCCCTTCACTGAACCTATCCCTATCCTTACAGAGTTAAATCACCACGGGTCGAGGTGTCCGTTCCCAGATGTCACACAGGGGCGCGGGTGACACAACTTAGCTCAGGTAAGATCATATCACAACAAACAAACATACAAATACGTCTGGGACCTTATATAGCCTACCCCAGCGACTCTCACACTCGACTCGACTGGGCACAAATCCAGCCTCGTCCCACAAGCGGTCACAGGCATTTTTTTTTTAAGATTCGTTTAAGTCATCAGCCAAAAAAAAATAAATAAATAAATAAATAAAGCTTAGTGTGTTTACATAAATTACAAAGATATATCGACTAAGTATAAAAGAAATTCTTACGGATCATTGTTAAACTTTTACTTTCGTTTACAAAATAACAAGAAATCGGTTATCACTTTGGGAAAAAATATGAAAAAAATAATTAGTTGTCACTGATAACACAAAGAATTACATTTCGTGAAGGAATTGAAGAAAGATATATTTATAAGACTGTCTGTGTTCATCCAGTCGTCAGTGTGGGTCTAGTCCTCCAGGTGGCTATATCTCCCGCCATCGCTCACCATAAACGTCACCTCGGTGGTCTAATACTACACAGAGATGTATCCTAAATAAATGAATCGACCATTTACTTCTAAATTTTCACCCCTAGATGCTTTTAATAGTTTTCTGCCTGAACGCGTATTAACCTAACCTAACGAAACTCTTTTTTTACGCAACAATTCTGTACCCCTTCACCCCGGCTGTACCGTCAGTTGTTGGTACAATACTGTATCCTCCTCGCTTGGTAGGAGTAAAGAGCTGTTGTTTATGAAGTTTCTAATTTGTATTCGCGGCAGATTTACACAAACATTATCACCGCTCGTTTTCACCAAAGTCATAGCGTCAAAATCATCACAATAAGCCATTACGAAAGCCATTCTTCAGACAGAGTGAGAGAGAGACCTTGCCGCCCCAAACTGAGTTCCTCGAGCTACTGACGAAGGGCCGCCGTAGGGACCTTCAGGGTTAGTTATGTAAATTCTTTTAACCTAACTAGAGATGCGAGAACACGTGTAGCATCTCATAAGCTGCGGCGTAAAGACCAAAACGATGATTAAAAAAATATCATTAATCTTTCACAGCAACCAAAAGGAGTTCTCTTATCCCTATGTAAGGAGCTAATGAGAACGTACGAATCCTTGAGAAATTTAGACCCAAGTTTTCAATCTCTCTCAGACACAGATCCTCCCGCCCATCATCCTCCCGCCCATCACCCTCCCGCCCATCATCCTCCCGCCCATCACCCTCCCGCCCATCATCCTCCCGCCCATCACCCTCCCGCCCATCATCCTCCCGCCCTCCATCCTCCCGCCCTCCATCCTCCCATTCCTAATTACCAGTTAACATGCTACAAGTCACTGGGGAAGCGTTAAGTACAGGTTAAGCCGCCAATCGTATAAGTGGGCACGCTCATCGGCTCCCGTTTAAGGCTGGAATTTCAGCAGTTCATCAACAAATGGCCATAGAACGTAGTGGAGTTTAAGCCAAGGTAATAAATACCCAGGTATGAATAATTCCCAGGTAATTTACTGAACCTCCTCCTCCTCTTCTTCCCCTTTCTTATATCGACTGTAGGAGCGAGACGGCAGCCAGTCAGCCAAGTTAACCCTCGACTTGGTTAGTGATTGACGGCGAGGTGAATGTAATTAGTCGAGTAATGAATGTGTGAGAGAATGAGAGTGCCTGGGGAGAATACCACCTCCTCCACCCAACACACCCACACACATTGACCCACACACACACATTGACCCACACATCCTTTTAATAACCTTTTTACTAATTATTTTACCATTATAAACATTTAAAACATGTTGTAAAATTAAGAGTATTTTTCCATCTCACGACTTCACAATACATAAGACAGATACCAACCTCAGGTTACCCTCAGCCCGGGGATAAATTCTGAATAACATGAGATATATTTTGGTAAATGTCCCAGCCTCGTGTGGTTAGGTTAGGTTATGAGGGATACAGCTGAAGCCGGAGGGAGATATGTGAAGGGTTCAATGCGTCTTTTAACATCATCTCCTTTTACCAGACACAACGGCTATACAGATAAGGACTCGCCTGTGTAGTGTGACAGTGTTCAGGACCTGCACCATACCCTGCCCCTGCCACACCCTCCCTACCACACCATCCTTTACATCACCCACTGTTCCACCCACTATTCCACCACCCTTTACACCACCCACTGTTCCACCAACCCTTTACACCACCCACTATTCCACCACCCTTTACACCACCCACTATTCCACCACCCTTTACACCACCCACTATTCCACCACCCTTTACACCACCCCATATTTTCCACCACCCTTTACACCTGCCCACTATTCCTACCCTTTACACCACCCCACTATTCCACCACCCTTTACACCACCCACTATTCCACCACCCTTTACACCACCCACTATTCCCACCACCCTTTACACCACCCACTATTCACCAACCCTTTACCACCACTATTCCACCAACCCTTTACACCTGCCTATTCCACCACCCTTTACACCCACTATTCCACCACCCTTCCACCACCACTATTCCTACCTTTACACCACCCACTACCACCACCCCTTTACACCACCCACTATTCCACCACCCTTTACACCACCCACTATTCCACCACCCTTTACACCACCCACTATTCCACCACCCTTTACACCACCCACTATTCCACCACCCTTTACACCACCCACTATTCCACCACCCTTTACACCACCCACTGTTCCACTTCCAGATATCAATATTAACTGTTACATATACAAAAAGTTGTCCAACGGAATAACAGGACTGGATACCATGACGTTTGGCCTTGGTTAAGTAGTACACTCCGTCATAAGAGACATTTGTAAATACCGCTATACAATCGATGTTTTGTAAGTGTGTTTCAGACTCATAAAATATCATCAGCTTACTGGTAAATTAATTAACAGTAAAATAATCTGAACTTTACAGCTTAATCTTTACTTCCGAATATGAGAAATAATTTATCGTTAAAGTTTTATCGTTGGAAGTGTTTAAAAAATGGGGGGGTCTCTCTCTCTCTCTCTCTCTCTCTCTCTCTCTCTCTCTCTCTCTCTCTCTCTCTCTCTCTCTCTCTCTCATATGCAAGGTTTACTAGAGACAATAAACAGTATAAACTATAATTAAATCAGAACACAAAAGACGTTTCCTTAGGCAACATCATCCTGAGAACCAAGGACGACCCCTGCCATCACCTTCAATAAAGACTCAAACAGGTCCTGGTCATGAGCTGTGCGTCTTACATAATTATACTGTACTGTGGCATTATGGTCAAATACAAGGTCAACAGTCTCTACTACTATTGAAAGGTATCAAATAGACTAATAAGTAATCCTAATTCCTATTACGTGATATATCTTCCCTGGTGCTCCGTGTGAAGGTGATAAAAAAATGTTCTTTAATTACCGGCTACCACCACAGAAATAGCCTAGCGTCAGGCCGCACCCTCCTTCACTCAACCACCAGAGACTGCCTGCAGCCACGCCAGGAGGTAAACAAAACCTCCTCTTATTTATCACTAAAATATATATCCTGAAATGTGACACACAGGAAAAAAAAGAAAAATCGGGGTTGGTTGAGAGTGAGTACAGGTCTCCGAGGGGGAATCGAATGTGGAACAAATGGCTGGGTGTAGAATTACTTTCCTACGCCTGTGTTCTGGGTTGTGTTGCCGTCTTTGTGTTGTTGAGTTCTCCTATGTGGTTCATAATACCGTGTAGTTTTAATAACGAGGCAACACCTATGAAGGAATTCTGTTTATGCTTCCCTCACGTAAAAAATGAAATATACTTGGAAACAATTTAAGAAAAACAGCCGTATAGAGAGCCTTAATATCTAACGTAAATAAAGGATATTATTTATTTACATTATGAAAACATAGATAAATATTTTTTTTCCATTGCGATATTCAGAAATTAATTAATACCAAGGCGTAATATTACATCGTTGAAGTGGGATGGCTGGCAGTTGTCGTCACTTAGCGTCACTGTACCGTTTAGTGACTCGTGGACGGACTAGTGATGTTCCAACGACGCCCGCGGTGATGGAGACAGGAAATATGACATTCTAGAGAAAATACATCATTAAAAAGAGAGTCACTGAGTCTATCTACAGTCTGGTGTCAGTTTATCATGTCGGATCTGTTAAATTATAAACCGTAATAGTTGTCAGTCTATGATCATGCGTCTGCCTCGGAAGGTCTACTGAGAAAGGGAATTATTTAAGCTTCTCAAGAAACACTAAATATAAACATTGGTAATAATCTCATACGTGTAGTCAGTTGTGTAGACGTGTAGCCGCTCAGGTGTGAAGTTATGTATAGGTGGCGACATCCAGGTGTGTGATGATGACGGACAAGGATGATGATGACGACGGACAAGTACAAGGACGGACAGATGTGATGTTCAGTTGTGATGAGGTGAAGACGATTCCTTAAGGGGAGAGAGAGACAGGGGGGTCAGAGGGTACAAAGTGTGAAGTACTCTTTGCCTAACCGCCCCCCGCTCTGCCTCACAACACCGTCATTAGATTCTCCTCACTCACAGCCTCATTACTAATACACCATCAAGTTCATAATACTATACACAGTCTCATATGACATTAAAACACATTCAGGTGACGTAACTTAAATTAGGAAGGTTTTATTAATAATTCAACTCGGGTGTTAACCTGGACATTGGTTTTTGCGCACTGGCCATAAACAATGACTTAGGATTTTCAAGACAGTGTAAAATATGTTTGATTATGTGGTAACAGTCTTATATATATATTTACTAATACTATTTTATATGTGGTAATTCAGATAATGTAGAATATATAATGTCCTTGAGATAAATATATAGTATTTGTTTAGGTTTTCAAGAGTGCTCAACCTCACCCAAGTTAATATTGCTGCTGTTATTCACTTTGTATATTTTTCTGATCAAATAAACTGTTTCAATTTCTATAGATTTTTACATGTGCATTTTTTAACAATACTGTAAAGGTAACTAACCAAAGAAAAACGTCAGACAATACAGAGGTAGAGTTCAGTACTGACATACCTAAACCTAACCTAACCTAACCACACATGAAATACACACCAGAAACATGATCGATCTCTGTATAGTGTCGCCTGCCTGGCTGACTGACCGTCCACCCACGTAAGTCATCTTCCACGCCAAGGTCCTTTATAGGGGGAGTTGCCACCTTTCGATGCTTTCTGGTTTAACCTAACCTAACCTGACCCTAGCCTAACCTAACCCGACCCGACCCTACCCTAACCTAACCTGACCCTAGCCTAACCTAACCTAACCCGACCCGACCCTACCCTAACCTAACCCTAGCCTAACCTAACCTGACCCTAGCCTAACCTAACCTGACCCTAACCTAACCTGACCCTAACCTAACCTGACCCTACCCTAACCTAACCTATCTGTGGCCGAAACCCCTATCGAATGTTAAAATATTACTCTTAAATTGAATAAGATTAACAGGAATTGGTTATGAGATGAATGAGTGAGGTGGATTGGTCAGCTCACTCACTCACTCACACACCCACTCACTCACTCACTCACTCACTCACTCACACACCCACTCACTCACTCAGATAAGCAATCATATACCTGACTGACGTGGCTAAAAAAACAAACAGTCATATATCTAACTTATAAGTACACATTGTCATTGCCACCTACCACACTCGGGCATAAAGATTAACACTTATCACCAACACCATTTTGCACTACACTAATGGACTCAAGTCTAACTCAAACAAAAAATCCAGACACTACTCATTACCCAAATAAACAGGTGGTATTAACTTGTAAACAAACTAACCATAAAACCCACTTGTAAACAAACTAACTATAGAAGCCACTTGTAAACAAACTAACTATAAAAGCCACTTGTAAACAAACTACCTGTAAAAGCCACTTGTAAACAAACTACCTGTAAAAGCTGCTTGTAAACCATCGTTAACTACCAATTATTACCTCCCATCAACAGATTATAATGGGATTGTTTATATCACATTCAAGTAGTGTATTCATATGTATGTCTGTCTGTTATTGTTTAATTTTCAATAACAAGAATCAACATCAACAATTGGAAGTTAAAAGTAACGTCCTGTAAACACCACCGTCGTCACACCAATGTTACTTATGTTCCAGGGAAGTAACATAAGTAGCATTGGAGTAACTTACAGAAGCACTTATAAAGAATAATTAATAACAACAATATCACGATAGGAGTAACAGAAGAAGAATAATGGCAAAAGAAGGAGGAAGAGGAGGAGAATAAGAAGTATAGAAGGAGGGGGAAGAGAAGGAGAAAAAGTATTGGAGGAGGAGAAAGAGGAGGAGAAGAAATAGGAGGAGGAAGAGGGGGAGAAGAAGTATAGGAGGAGGAGGAAGAGAGGGAGAAGAAGTATAGGAGGAGGTGGACGGGGAGGAGGAGGTGGGGTGAGGTGGTGTAGGGGCCAGTGACCTTGAGAATGCAGTACCTGGCCTTTGATAATTACTTTAAGTCCACCAGGTGACCACTCTCTCTCTCTGCAGGCTCCTCCTCCTCTTCCTCCCTCTTCTCCTCCTCCACCTCCTATTACTCCCTCTTTTCTTAACCCCCCTCCTCCTCCCTCTTCTCTTCCTTCTCCTCCACCACCTTCTAGATTACTTCCTCTTCCTACAAGCTTCCTCACCTCCTCATCACAAGTTCCTCATTAACTAGCTATCTCCTTCGTTTACTTCCTCATTCTCTTCTATCATTTATTCGTCTCTATCACTATTCTCTTTCATCTGCCCCCCCCTCCCCACCATTTCCTTGTAAGACCTCTCAGATATTTCCTGACTTCCTCTTATCACATTCCTCTCCTAACTACTTCACTCCCACATCCTTCTCCACCTGTCTAGTACTCTCACACTCCTCTCCATCTGCCTACTTCACTCCCCTAATCCCTCTCCACCTCCCAAACACTCCCCCATCCTCTCCACCTCCCAAACACTCCCCATCCCTCTCCCACCTCCCAACACCCCCATCCTCCACCTCCCAAACACCCCCCCCCCATCCCTCTCTACCTCCCTAGCCTCTCCCATCCCTGTGTATCCTTCCCACAACACTCCCTACTCCCTCTCCACTCCCTACTCCCTCTCCACTCCCTACTCCCTCTCCACTCCCTATTCCCTCTCCACTCCACCACAAACAACCGTCTATCTACCTCTGGCTTAAGACTAACCTCTCGTCCTACTATCCATCTTCCCCGACTCTCCCTAGGCCGAAGATTCCCATGGGACGAGGAGGAATGGGATGACTGGGCGGGGCAGTGAGGGGTAGAGTAACGGGGCGGGGCGGAATAGAGGAACAAAGGATGGGCGTGGTCGGGGACGAGGGCGGATGAGAGGTGAGGTTGGGGCGTGAGGGTGAGTTGTAATGGGTTCGGTCAGATAGAGACGAGACCCGCAGCACAGGTGTCGTGTGTTGTGGTAAGGAAGTGGTACTCGGGAAACTCGTCCTATTGACTACGTAGAGGTAAATCTGAGGTAATGGAGATAAGGGAATCGACTCTCACAACAACAACAGCGAGACGTTCTGGGTTATCCGTCAGGGAATATTTAATCATCAATTACGTCAGGTCAGGTTAGGTTAGAATTATGTATTTTCATTTAAAACTTCTATTATAATTATATGTAGATCGTTCCTACACACACACATACACAACTCCCCCCACACATACACAACTCCCCCACACACACACCCCACACACACACACACACCCCACACACATTATAAATATGACCATAAAAACGCAACCTAACTAGCCTAATCTCTACACCTAGCTCAGAATAAGACATCTAACAAGAGTGACCAGCTGACATAAACAGGGGCTCCAGCACTATGACGTAAACAGAGCTCCAACACTTATGACTTGTAAACAGAGGCTCCAACACTATGACGTAAACAGAAGCTCCAACACTGAGCGTAAACAGAGAGCTCCAACACTATGACGTAAACAGAAGCTCCAACACTACTGAGCGTAAACAGAGAGCTCCAACACTATGACGTAAACAGAGAGCTCCAACACTATGACGTAAACAGAGAGCTCCAACACTATGACGTAAACAGAGAGCTCCAACACTATGACGTAAACAGAGAGCTCCAACACTATGGCGTAAACAGAGAGCTCCAACACTATGGCGTAAACACCTCCAGAATAATAGTGTGACGTCATCAGTATCCCGAAACTGGGTGAAAATTAACGTAAATAAAATAAAAATAAATAAATGAAAATTATCCACCGCCAAAATATAATATTGTCTTTGTAACTATGAAATGGGACGAGAAATGAGTTTGTTTTTTGTTTTTCTTGTATATTTTGGTAGGCAGTGGAGGACACATAGTAAGTTTGTTGTATATGTTGTTCTTTGATATTATTAAAGATGGACAGAGAGGAATACTGAGGAGGAGAGAGAGAGAGAGAGAGAGAGAGGGGGGTAAGTAGGTAAAGGAAGAAGGAGGAGACATACTACAGCTCGTGACCAGAGTAATCCCTGAGGGGTATCCTGAAGGAGGGGCGTGTTGGCTGGCCAGTGTGTGTGTGTGTCTCTGGGGCGTCCATCACTCACTGTCTCTCCCTGCTCGAGGTAAAAACATGTGGAAAAACACCTTAACCGACGTGTCGTACCATCCTGGCTCCTGGGGGTGGTTCCCTTGGGGTCGTCCAGGGGAGAGGGGGGTGGTCGTCCAGGGGAAGTAAGTAATAAGGAACATGGTCTTTAATCTATCTGTCTGTCTATCTATCTATCCATCTATCTACCTATCACAGAGGGTGAGTCACTTAGAATGAACCTCTGAGTCAGGTCTGGTTGAACATTTTTTTTATTCGAGTCATGAGATTGAACAAGAGATTCAGTTCGTGTGGATGAGAAAAGTGAGTCAGTCAGATGACGTCGTTCACTGCCACCAGCCGAACTAAATAACAATCGACCTTTACCAGTCTCTCTCTCTCTCTCTCTCTCTCTCTCTCTCTCTCTCTCTCTCTCTCTCTCTCTTTCTCTCTCTCTCTCACCGCTTAATGATAACACCTGTCACTTATACCTGTACTACGACATATGTTAACTGTAATTAATTTTCCCCTGTTTAATCACTATTTAATTCACATAATTCCGTTCCAGGTATTTCTACGGCTCTGTGTCATTAGCAGTGATACTTTACCTTTAAATAGTACTGTAGCTACACACATACACTGAGCTACTAAAGCCCGTTCGACTCTCTGAACCATGAACCCCAAGATTCAGACTCATGAATCCGAGGCATTTATGGATAGAATAATGTATCAGTCTACTGCTTCGGATTCACGAGTCTGAATCTCTCGGGGTTCGTGGTTCACGAGAGGCGTCGGGGTGATCAGAGAGGAGGTGATAGTCTGTGAATTGAAAGTAAACTTTTGGGTATAAGTTTTATTTATAACCCTTTGAGGACGATGGTTTAAGCCCTTTGAGGACGATGGTTTAGACCCTTTGAGGACGATGGTTTAAGCCCTTTGAGGACGATGGTTTAGACCCTTTGAGGACGATGGTTTAAACCCTTTGAGGACGATGGTTTAGACCCTTAGAGGACGATGGTTTAAACCCTTTGAGGACGATGGTTTAAACCCTTTGAGGACGATGGTTTAGACCCTTTGAGGACGATGGTTTAGACCCTTTGAGGACGATGGTTTAAACCCTTTGAGGACGATGGTTTAGACCCTTAGAGGACGATGGTTTAAACCCTTTGAGGACGATGGTTTAAACCTTTTGAGGACGATGGTTTAAACCCTTTGAGGACGATGGTTTAAACCCTTTGAGGACGATGGTTTAAACCCTTTGAGGACGATGGTTTAAACCCTTTGAGGACGATGGTTTAAACCCTTTGAGGACGATGGTTTAAACCCTTAGAGGACGATGGTTTAAACCCTTTGAGGACGATGGTTTAAACCCTTTGAGGACGATGGTTTAAACCCTTTGAGGACGATGGTTTAAACCCTTTGAGGACGATGGTTTAAACCCTTTGAGGACGATGGTTTAAACCCTTTGAAGACGATGGTTTAAACCCTTAGAGGACGAAGGCTGCAATAATCACAATTCCTGTCATACGCAATAATCAATGTCAACACAAAACCTGAAAACAGCTGCCTTAATGTGCAGTAAAAAAATTTATGTAATCTTGTGACTCTCCTTAATTTACTATCCTTATATGAGGTGGTGGTGATGGTGGTGTGTTGTGATGAGTGTGGTGATGCTGGTTATGGTGATGGTCTGTTGGTGACGAAGGTGGTGGTGGTGGTGTGTTGTGATGAGTGTGGTGATGCTGGTTATGGTGATGGTCTGTTGGTGACGAAGGTGGTGGTGATGGTGGTGATGGTGGTGGTAGTAATGGTGGTGGTCATCGTCATCAAATAAATGTTTTTTTATGGCACCATGGTAGCAGCAGCCAATTACCCAGAAGGTAGGGACGTGAGAAGTAGTTAATGACGAAGACCTTGGTTTAGACTCACCTGTCCTGGGTCCCTGATGAGTCTTCTACAGGTAAGTCACACCTCTATCCCTGTCGGAGAAAATTATCACTTAATTTACTGCTGATGGAGTGTGTGAGGTGAGTGTGTAATGAGGTGTATGGGTGTTATGAAACCTCTCTCTCTCTCTCTCTCTCTCTCTCTCTCTCTCTCTCTCTCTCTCTCTCTCTCTCTCTCTCTCTCTCTCTCTCTCTCTCTCTCTCTCTCTCTCTGAAGCAAGGCGTAATCAGGCTTATAAAATCACGTACATTATATCCCCCTTACACTAATGATATAACACACTACAGTATAGCCATGGTTAAGTTAAAAATAAAAGTTCCTACACGCTAATACAAACACCATTAATATATTTTATTTATATTTTAATAGCGAACAAGTTAAATAGTGTCAACATATCCAGTGGAGACAACAAAAGAGAATAGTAATGCGTGAGGTTTGGACAAGACCATACTTGGGATATACGATTTGGTATGCCGAGTTGCTTTGTTGTCATGGTGAAACTCCGACCCCCTGTCTCGCTTTAATCCTTCTCATTAATGCCGCGTCGAGGGGGGGAAGGTGGGAGGGCTGGATAAGGTAGAAGGATGGATAATGATGGAACATAATAACATCAGGATTCTACAGGAGGGGCGGTACTGGTACGTGGTAGGTTAGCTAAGTCACCACCATTAGCAGAAGTTCCCCCTCCTCCTCACCTTACCTCTCCTCCTCCCCGCCGCCGCCGCCCTAGAGACAACACCGCGGTCTGTGAGTCTTAAGATGGTATCCTGAAGGTGGGGGTGAAGGAGGAGATACTCGAAGGTGTGTGTGTGTGTGTGTGTTTAAATATGAATATGTAAAAGTTTTGTTTGTATGTATATTTATGTTTGCGTGTGTTTGTATCTTAATATTTGAACGTGTTTGTGTGTTTATGTATATATGTATGATTCGTATGTTTATGAGAGAGGTGTTTATTTACTCAACAACTGTGAATACACACGCACACATACACAGACACACGCAGACACACACACACACACACACACACACACACACACACACACACACACACACACACACAAAATCATCGTCACGCGAAATATGTGGGACTAAACCAAGACAGATTCCAACACTACAACTCAGCCAAGTGGAGGTACTAATGGTCACCCAGCTGTTAACGCCACACCCTTCACTGTCTGTCTGTCTGTCTATCTGTCTGTCTGTTACACCATTCATTGTCTGTCTGTCTGTCTGTGGTTACGGTTTCTTCCCTCCGATCGTCTCACAAGCTGTTAATTTATTACGATAATGAGAGAGAGAGTCTCACAAGCTGTTAATTTATTACGATAATGAGAGAGAGAGAGAGAGAGAGAGAGAGGAAGGGGATAAACAGAAAAACAGAGAAAGAAAATCGAAAAAAGCAAAACAAACAGAAAATCAAAACAGTAAACAAGGAAGAGGAACAGTGGAAGAGACTACTGTTATACTGTTAACACGTGTGACCAGCGCCTCCCCGCGTGTAGCATAACCCGCCAATTTTCACGCCGCCACAACTCACCAAACTCAGAAGCAGTGAATAGGCTTAAAACACGGCGAAGGTGAGAGATTTTTACGAGACAGCTGACCCCCCCCCTCCACCCCCTTCTCCTCCCTCCTACCTAAACACACACACACACCTCTACCCTCACCAAAAAAATATAAAAAAATACAAATAAGGTTAATAATTCAGCCAGAAAAGGATGATGGAATATGGGCATGATAACGAATTGGAGTCAAGTGGTCTCCTCAAGCGGTAAAAAACGGGACTAATCTAATAAACGAGCTTGAAGTCATCGTCGTCAAAGGGTTAAGCTATCGTAGTCAAGGGGTTAAGCTATCGTCGTCAAAGGGTTAAGCTATCGTCGTCAAAGGGTTAAGCTATCGTCGTCAAAGGGTTAAGCTAGCGTCGTCAAAGGGTTAAGCTATCGTCGTCAGCGTTGCTTAATACGTCGTCAAAGGGTTAAGCTATCGTCGTCAAAGGGTTAAGCTAGCGTCGTCAAAGGGTTAAGCTATCGTCGTCAAAGAGTTAAGCTATCGTCATCAGAGGGTTAAGCTATCGTCGTCAAAGGGTTAAGCTATCGTCGTCAAAGGGTTAAGCTATCGTCGTCAAAGGGTTAAGCTATCGTATCTCAAAGTCCACCTTATTTTATCGTCGTCATATTTTATCCACTTGTCACTTTAAACTATAACTTCTAAACAATAATCTATTTAGACCATAAAAAATGTCACACCAGAACGTTAAAAGATTATATTGTGTAATATGTTTATACTTACATATATACATACATACATACATACATTAAAAAACAGTATGTGAACTATCAATCAATTTTGCACTTAAAAAAAATATGTGTCGTTTGTAAGTATAAATTTCTCATCTTTGTGATCTAACCGACCCTTACAGAGCGCGGTAGATCAACACCCGTCAACAGAAATGGAGTTTACCATATTGGGAACTATTGGCAGAGCCTTTCAGAGAAGCAACCCAACACACAGCCATGGTTACATTCTTAATATCGATCTTTTAATTCACTTTTTATTTGTTTTTATGTTGTTGTTTTTTAATGTGAATCAGTTACAAGGTTATTATTCGCTTTAATAGGGATGAGTTTTGTTTAGTGATCAAGGTTTTATACAGTTTTATGTGAGGTAAGCAGTAGCGTCATGCTTAATGGATCTGTTTTTACGTTAATAAATTCAGCAGATACCCGCTTTAATGTCCTTGAATTAAATCAGTTGACGAACTTAACATTCTGAGAGAGAGAGAGAAAAAAAAAGTACGACCCAGACTACTCGAGTGAATGTACTCAGGGGCTAGTTGAGTGTGGGAAGTGTAAGGTCGAGAACAGTCAAGCTGGCCTGGTGGTGCTGGCTCGCCCGGTGTGTGGAGAAGCAGCAGCAGGCAGGGTGGCGGGCAAGCTGGGGGTTGGGCGTGCCCCGGGTATAGGGAACGTGAACTCCACCCAGTGTGCTGTCTTGTACCCGGCCCAGTACCCTCCTCCTCCACTCCCACGCCGGGGGGAGGAGAGGGGAAGAAAGGATTGACTTAAGCGCAGCATCACTCCACCAGCAGAGACCGTCGCAAGAGTTAGTGAGAGGAAGGGGAGGAGGAGGAGGCTGGTCACTGAGGTACTGTTGTTGATCACTGTGAGGAGGGGGTGGAGGGGGGAGGGGGAGATGGGAGGGGGAAGGGGAGGGAGAGACTACTCTTCATCAGCGGAGCAATACACTAATGAACGATCTTTCTCCAGTGATATATTGTACTCTATAAATTGTGTTCAACGTCATTGGCTTCTTGTAATCTCTCTCTCTCTCTCTCTCTCTCTCTCTCTCTCTAGCACCTCCCGCATCTTACTATTAACACACATTAAGACCTTTACATAAGCCTTCTCTTACTCCCATAATAACATACTTGAGGTACACACACCCAAACACCACCCTCAGTCGATAGAGTACTTGTGGGGTCTCGTAGTGTCCAGACATTTAGGGGATACTGAAACATATTATTTATCGCGGTGATTTAGCCTCGTCTGGCGTGTAAGACTTGGTGAACCTCTGCAACTTAAAGGCCATGGCTGGTGTTATTATAAATACATTGAACGTTAAAAGAGTAAAGCAATTTAGTAAGTGGAAGATAATTGTTTTAATTGAAGAAGGAAGAAGATTACACGGTTGTAAATAAACGCTGATGCCTCACAATATAAACTTTAGGTTCGTTGTCCGTAAATCTAGCCAGTACAATAACAGCTGAACCCTACACTCCCGGCTGGGCATATCTCACTCCATATATTACTGGTTACCTTGCCCACACCCGTCCTTCCCAGACTCCCGCCCTTACCATCTTCTTGTGACCTCCCCGCCACATCTGCCAACATTATTACCTTCCACGAATGTTATATCTTGTTAACCTCGCCGAAAATAAGAAAGGGGGTACAGTACTGATCTCTTAATTATCTTACCTAAATATAGATAAAGAAAAACTAACATTGAAACAAGTTAAAAGGCATTTGAGTTGAGTTACAAGATGGTACAGTGTGTGGATTTTGTCACAGAAAGAAAATATGGGTAAAATTTCAGAAAAAAACGTACAAAGAAAATTCCTCAAACATCGGTAGATCCTAGACTCAAATATTTTAGGGATTAACTCAAATATTTTAGGGATTAACTTACCTTTTTAGGGCAGGAATCCCTTTGTGTGACAGTAATAGACTAAAGAAGATATTACGTAGACAAATATTCAAATACTTGCCAGGTAGGGAGAAGGAAATTCTTCGGTCGTCTGGTAAACACAGCTATACCACAAAGGCAACTTAACAGAGGCGACTCACAGGTGGCAATCCTATGTCGTTTGGGTTCAACTTGATTACTAATGGTGGAGAGTTACATTAAACCGGGAATGACTATCTGTTATGGGAAATAGCTACTTTAAACGGGGAATAGCTACTTTAAACGAGAAATAGCTACTTTAAATGGGAAATAGCTACTTTAAACGGGAAATAGCTACTTTAAACGGGAAATAGCTACTTTAAATGGGAAATAGCTACTTTAAACGGGAAATAGCTACTTTAAACGGGAAATAGCTACTTTAAACGGGAAATAGCTACTTTAAATGGGAAATAGCTACTTTAAACGGGAAATAGCTACTTTAAACGGGGAATAACTACATTAAACGGGAAATAGCTACTTTAAACTGGAAATATTAGCTACTTTAAACGGGAAATAGCTACTTTAAACGAAGGATATCTACTTTAAACGGTGCTCTACGTTAAATAAGAGCTAGCCATCTTAAACTGCTAGTCCCTACGTTAAAAGGAGGAATAGCGATTAGGTTTTGTACAAGACGTCCCATAAGTAACTCCCCATAAGAAACTATTATCTTTTTAAGGGAAGATAATAACAAATTAACCAAGATAACACTAGAGAGAGGATGAGTTAGTTTTATATTCGTGTGAGTTAAAATGAATAAGGAGGGAATTGAGTCTTGGCAGGAAGCTTCCCTACGTGTACTGTGGAG